GCCACATGGAAGCACTTCAGATGACAATCTCAGCCGAGTCACCCCCACTAAGCAGAGAACCCCACTAAGGTGCCAGACCCATGAGCACAGCTCTCCAGGACTGTCCAGGGCAGCCCATCTGCCAACTGAGCACTGTTGGGTGAGCTCCATCAACATCTTGTGGAGCAGAAGAACCACCCAGCTGAGTCCTGCAGGGATAGGTGACCAGCACAGAAGGGTTTTGATTAGCACAAATGAGGGCCTGATGGCATCCCGGAGAATGGGAATGTTGTAGGCAAAGCCATGAAGGTGTGAAGGTGAAGAGAATCTACTCAAGAATTTGAGTTTTGGGGAAATCAGAAAACTTAGAGAAAATATAAGGGACAAAAATAACTATTATCCATATTTTAAAGCTAAATAGAGTCTGAAGGTTATGTGTTGTGTTATATATTCTATAATCAATGGGGTGCCACTAAGATTCTATGTTTTTTAAACTTTTGATTATGGAAATTTATTAATATACACAGAAAATAGTATCTTGATCCTCTGTTGACATCACCACTGTGGTTCAAGCCATGTTTAAGGGGTTTCCTAGCAAAAAAATTATCAATGTTTGCCAGTCTTTTTTTCCTGAAACATTTTTAGGCAAATCCCATACATCAGATCATTTTATCCATAAATATTCCAGTAGGCAGCTCTAACACGTAAGGGCTTTAAAAAGTAATTATAAAACCATTTTCATGCCTAACAAAGTAGCAATCTTAATAAGACACCCATTCCATAATCAAATCTCTCCTATCAAATTTCCCATATTGTGTTCTTCCTCCAGAGTCAGGCTGGGTCCCACACTGCATTCGGTTGATTTTTCTCTAAGGCTCTTGTAATAAAGTGGCCTGTCAGACGCTACCTTCTTTCCCGCGCTGTTTTGTTCGGGGCTCCTGGTGCCCTCACCAAGTGATATCACTCAGCATGCTCTAGTAGAACCTTATTTCTTGTGAACTAGAAGAAAGAGAAGGAGGAAGTTGGTCAGGGTGGCATTTTGAGGTGGAGGGCGCCGCAGCAAGGCTCTGTTTGAGGCCAGTCTGATAATGTACAATAATGAGGTGTAGGGGAGATGGGGACCCACCCCTAAGGAGGGTTCCTGAGCCCCGGGCCCAGGCTGCAGGGTGAGGAGAGAACACACAGAGACCCTGAGCAGAGGGGTCACAGGGAAGTTCTAGTAAAGGTAGCCTTTCTAACACTTCTCAGGCTCTGTACCTGTGACTTTCTGGTGTCAACATGCTAGATAATATTTCTTGAATTCCACAGAATCACAGAGAACACGTGATTTATGTGCATGGTTAGTACACACCACTGAAAGAACTGGAACCCAAAAGCCTGTGTTCTTCCCTGCTGTGCCAAACGGCAGAAAATAAGCCCCTGGGGCTGCTCTGGTAAATGTATGCTGTTGGGGGGCAGGGAGGCCTGGCACAGACTGGGGGAAGCAGGCGAGTTTCACCGAGAGCCCAGTGAGCTGAGCATCTCAGAACGTACTCGAGAGCACCGCGGCCATCAGCACTCCCGAAGAGCCGCTTCTTACAACACATGCAGACCCCTGGGCCCACCCGAGATGGACTGGATCAGAACTCCCGGGGATCTGACCCAGGAACGTGCATTAACAGGCACCTTGGGATTCTTCGACCTAGTTTGAGAAACACTGGAATAAAGAATGGGACCAGCCATGCACTTGAACGGGATGACAAATTTAAGTAAACAGGGAGAAAAGGACTTTTCACAGTGTCTCGTATGTAGTTAGTATTCATATACACTGCCGAATAAACGAGTGGAAAGGAACTTTGGTATCAAGAACTGACATCATGTCTCCAGCCAAAGCACCCGAGTTTAGCAGCCCTGGAGGAAGGCAGAGTCGGTGGTTCCTTGCCACCAAACACTGTTTATGAAAGGGGCACTTTACCTCATGGGGAACGTGGAGACTTCCATCACCCGTGGGAACCTCTAATTGAAGAAGCTGCAATAATGCCCACTGGGGCCCAATCCTTCCCAGCCAGTCCCCCTTCACAGCTGAACTACCCAAAGTTTGTGTGGGAGAGACACAGAAATCCCACCAAGCAGGACCCAAGTAACCCTGGACCAGGCATGAGGGAACGTGAACAAAGGACTCAGTGGGATGGGTAGCTACGAAAGCTGTGTGCTGTTTTATCAGTGTTGATAAGATGTTCCTACCAGTGTGGAAGGCAGACAAGAATATTGGAGTCGAAGACACTTCCCTCCGGAATATGCTCAAGGTGAAGGATGCCCAGTGAGCATTTTGAGAAATACACACTGAGACAGGATTGAACAGAATTGAACTGGATTCAGTTGACACATTCATGAATCTGATGCTTTTGATAGCTCTTTTTATTAATATCTTCCTGTCGGTAACAATAAGTATTTATTTTGAGGGTTTTTTTTTTCTTTTTAAGGAAATGAAAATAAAATCAATGAAATTTTGTTTGTTTGTTTTTTTTTTAGAGAGAGCACGACGGGGGAGGAGTGGTAGAGGAGAGTGTGAGAGAGAATCCTCAAGCAGACTGCTCACTGAGCGTGTAGCCCAATGAGGGGCTGGATCCCGTTACCCGGAGACCATGACCTGACCGGAAATCAAGAGTTGGGCACCTAACCAACTGGGCCACCCAGGCGCCCCCTAAAATGTTTCTTAAAGATGATTGCTTCGAACTAAACTATCATGGCACATTACCTATGGGGTGGGGGGTGATGGGGAGGGGCCCCTGGCAGGTTGATAAAGTTGTTTCCTGATCATGACATCATAATCTGATCTCCACACTTTTCTGGATTATGTTATATTTCAGTACAAATTTTACCCGAAGAGGCTGTCTCTTTGATTAGCAGAGATGGAGAAATTGGTCATAATTTGGAATGTGTAATGTCCCATTTATCCGGGAACCATAAAATCTTCTGGAAACCATTCTTGTTTTGCAAATAAACATGATCATGTGTATCTGCTTGGTTAGAAGGTGTAAACTGAGCTTCCACATACTCTTCTGGCAATGTCTTCTCACCACCGCCCTCCCTGTGAAGGATGCTGCTATTCCTGGGTGCCCCAAGATGTTGGCTGGAGCAGCCCGGAGGTGGCACATGAATGAGCTCCCTGGGGAAAGGAATCGGAGCCTGATCTCAGGAAATGTTCTTCCCACCTATGGCCATTATTTTAAAATAAATTTCTGTAGGATTTTTTGATCTGTCTTACCAATTCTACATCAGTGTTTGTTTTTAAATCAAAGTTCTTTTTTTTTTAAAATACAGGCTCATAAAATATTAGGATTCAATATTCACTTTGTCTTCAAATGCTACAATGGTATAAGCTGATTAAAGCAGACCATTTTTTCCCTTTGGAATCTTTGAATTAAGAGAAAATAAAATCACTGCTCTACATTTTCAGCTGAAAATGGGAAGGGATGGGTGAGGGGAGGAAATGTAGGTCTGTATCCAAAAGACAGAAAAAGGAAATTGTCCAGGGACGTGGCCACTGACTGTCCTTACTATGGCTACATGAATTCAGTTCTGCTCAGACCCTAGTTATGAGAGGAGAAGTTAAATGTTATAGTAAAAGCAAATCCCGTTGGGGATTTGGAGCGTGGAGGGGATGATGTCCACAAGATAAATGAGAGATTACAATTAACATCTCTAATGTATGTCCTAACCAATCCAAACAGAACACTGGCTTTGTATTTGCTTTGGTTTTCTTCCTGTTAATAAATGTCTCGTCCTTGGGCTAAAGTAAATCCATCACCTTTGTTACTGTGCTTTTTCTCCTTCTCCCTGATTCCTCTGTCCTACAATCGTTAGGTGTGTGACCCTCCCTTTCAGGCTCTCTCTGGCACAGGTCCTTGTGATTCTGTGACACACTTCACACTTTCTCTTCCCTCGGCCACCATCTGCCTCCCGGAGCTCAGAATTAAGGTGCTCCTTTCTCACTGCTTGCTGGGGAAAGCCAACTGCATCACAGGGAGAGCTAATCCTATGGCAGGGTGGTAAACACTGACCACGGGAAGGTATAAAAGGTGAGAAACCAGCTGAAGAAAAGCAATCTAGCTGAGTTCAGAGCAGATCTTAGGTAGGAAGGGCCCCTAAAGGTAATGTGGATTCATGGGCATTTTGTAAATGCAGGTGACCAGCTCGAGGTCGGTTGGGACAACTTCAGCTTAGTTTTCCTCCACCACGCCACACTGCCCAGTTAGTGTGTGCTCTGTGTCAGGGCAGGCCTGGTACGGCGGTGGCACTTCTGCGGTCTCACTGGGCCTCCCTTTAGTGTCTTCTAAGTGTGCATAGATTACGGGGCGCACAGAGGGGCCCATTTGTCCTGCGAACACCTACGGACTTCACCAGGTCCCTGGTTTCTGAAAGGCTTTTCTATCAGAGTAGTTTGGGGGGCGGGGTGCAGTTCTGAATCCAGACTATGGAGTCTTTCAAAATCTCACAAAACACAGCACCGCCAAAAGCATCTTTAAGCGCAGCGCCCGGAATGAAGGAAATTCCAAAGGCCACTTGAGAAGCCAAGGCAGGAGCAGGGCCCCGCGCCTGGGAGCGAGCGGGATGGGGAGGAAGGGCGGCGTTAGAGCGGAGGGGAAAGGGGAGACAGCGAGCAGTCCGCGAGCCAGGCCGGCCCGAGGGGAAGGCGGGAGAGAAACCTGAACTGGGCCCGGGTAGTCCATCTCCCCATCTCTTCCCCTGGCCCCGGCGGCCCACAGTGGCCCTGGTGTCGCGCGCGTCCGTGGCCTTGGAGCGGAGGGGGCGGCGTCCCCGTGGGGCGCCGGCCGGGGTCGGGGGGGGCGGGGGGCTCGGTGGCGCTCGGAGCGGTCGCTTGGCTCGCAGCCCGTTGGCTCGGCGCCCGGCCGGCAGGTCCCGCCCCGGCTGGGATGTAGGGAGCGCCGGCCTGCCTGCGCCCCTGTCCCCCCGCGCCCAGTCCTCTCGCGCGGCGGCTCGCGGTGCGCGCGTCTGCCTCCTGCCCTCCCGCTGCAGCCATGGCCGCCTCCTCCGCGCGGCCCACCGTGCTGGTCCTGACCGCGCTGGTACTGCTCCTGCTGCTGTGCCTGGGCCCAGGTAAGTGGGGCGACGGCAGGGCGCGGGAACGGAGATCGGTGATGGAGTGAGGGCGGGGGGACCCAACCCGAGCCCGGGCAAGTACCAAGGGGTGCTAGGGGTCTTGGGTTTTGCACTTGCACAAGTGGGAGTGGCGTGCTTGGGTCCGCAGAGTACTAGGGTAAAGAGCAGGGTCTCAGCGCTGCATGGTCACCTTGGGAAAGAATGAGGGCCAAGGTCCGAAGGAGGGGCAAGAAGTGTTTCGCACCTAATACAGGGGGCAAGGAGGTAATGGGAGCTATCAGCGGTGGAGGCCCTCCAGGACTGAGGGGAGCCCAAAAGCATCATTATGGAGATGCCCTTCCAGGCAATTCCCTAACGGAGTCAGGTTCCGGGTCTGCCAGACTGTGCCCAGGCCTCACATCCCAGATGGGGGAAATGCTCTTAAAGGAGAAATGCTTAACCTTCTGTGCTTCCTGGAGCCCTCAGGCAATCGGTTGAAAATTCCAGGTTTGTTCCCTATAAAATGAACATATTCATACACATCTCCAAAATGAAGTAGTTTGGAAGGGGTGCAGGCATCTGAACCCTGGGAGTCCACAGACCCCACCTGCCGGTTTTGTCCTGACCCTACTACCTTCCACTTGTAGGATCCTTTATGTTTCACCAGTGGCCTCATGCCTGCATGAGCACATTTGAGGCTCCCAGCTCTCCCGCTAAGGGCGGGGAGGCTTGAATCGCTTGCCCAAGACCAGGAGACTTGTACTCTTCCCCCTACAAAGTAGATGGCTAATGACCATTGAAGACACCCTTGATTGCTTTGCTTATTCAAAACAGGTATGGAAAAGCAAACTCTTTGGGAAAGGGAGGGAGGAAGCCTGCCTTAGGAGCCCTGAGGCCAAAGCCCCTGGTCGCCAGAAGAGCGGGGGACCTGTTCCAGTGGGGAGAATTGCTCTCCTTCTAAGTTACAACCACAGGAGAGGCTAATATAAATTACGTGATTGATCTACCTCTCCTACTTTGTTCTTCCCATTTTCAGAAGCACATCTGAATAAAAGGAGTGAGCACCTACTATAAGCCATTCCTTTTCAGTTTTGTATTTTATTTCATTCGTACCAAGAATGAGGTGAAAGTGTCAGTTAAAATATTATCATCATGGAGCTGGAATGTGAAAGTTCTTATGACATAAAATGAAATTCTTTATACATCAAGTCCCACAGGTGGCTCCTTACGACACCCAAAAACATTTAATGGAGAAAGAGATCATTCCTCTTTCTTGAGCAGTTTATTAATAGTTAGCCACTTCAAAGGGGGGCATCTTGAAATTCTACATCTGCTGGGAGATCTAATGTCAGGTTTAATAAACTCAGGAGTGCCTATTATCAGCCTAGAAATAGTGACTGATGATATTGGGGTAAAAAACAAATCCATACTATAGGAAAAAAATTCACAGCTATTCATTTGTTCATTTTTTTCTTCAAACAAATTTAGTGTGGTGTCTGATCACATGTATTAATATTTATTTATACTTCAGTGTGTAGTAATTGGCACAGTGGCAACATCAATAATTCATAATTTAGGATTTTTCTGTGCCTTTCCGTTGTACAGCTGAGATCTGGCGAGGCTTTCTTAGAACAGTAGTGACATATTTGCTGCTAGAAATTGCAACAAGATTGCAAATGCTTGAATCCAATGTCTATTTCAACATCAGGCCATATTTCATTCATTTATTGTTAAGTGCTTTTACAGAGGCAAACAGATGGAGGGACGATACTTAATTCTGTGTGTGCCACGCTGTTGTTAGAAATGGACCAGTGTTAAGATATTAATGAATGCTAATATTTGTGCCAAGGCAAGTGTCTGTCTGCTTTGGCAAATGTGTTCATAGATTTCTTTATTGACTCTTAAGATTCGATGGGAAGTACAGCTTTTACGTGTAGTCCCACTCCAGTCTAATTAAATAATCCTCTCAACAGGAGCCCCATGGGGTGCTCATCTCTGCTTATTTACTCTTGATGGAGAACTTCTTGGGGTGACTCACCCCATCTTTGGAGTGGCTGCCAAGTTTATGCCCTAATCTATGGCCCAGGGGTGTTTCTGGAAACCATTTGCTGACTCATTTTTTTTTTTTCCAAATTGTATTCCACTGTATTAGTTAACATAGTTTAAAATGTATGTATTATAAATATCCGTAATCAAATCATTTGAAGGCTTGGTAAATTTTTAACAAATCTTATACATTTTTAGTGAAAGTTACTAGTAATGCTTTCCTGAGAAGTGCGATATATTTTATTTTTAATCCCTGTGCCCAATTTTGGAGTTGAGAGGGTTGTTTGTAATAAATGTATGATGTACAAAAAAAAAAAAAATATCCCTGGTTCTAGAGATTCTTCTCAACCGTGCTTCCTGGCTGATGTACCTACTCTAAAGGCAGTTGGGTAGCGCTCAAATTCAGATGCCTACAGAGAGCTAATAGGTGAAATGGCTCTTTATGGATCATGGGGCATGCTGAGTGACTTGGGCCCAGAGGCATTCAAATTCAAATTTTGTAAACAGTGGGTATTGCTCTTCAAACATGTCTGCAGGTAAAGCTCAGCTGTGGGCAGCCAATTTGTGACCTTTGGCCACAAGTGTGGTTTTTTTCCCCCAAGTACATAGTATATTCTTTAAGCAGGGGGCAGTTCTTAATCTTATCTGGGTCCCAGACCCTTTTGGAAAGTCTGGCAAAAACTATGGCTCCTATTCCCAGAAAACCATACCTTTGCTGATGCGAGCACAGGCCTTGGGGTCTGTCCATGGATGGGAAGGTTAAGGACCTGACTAAAAAGGTGGACACCAGCCCCTCCATCTTGGGGCCAGACCAGCTCCTTATACCTGAACATGCTCTGGAGGCCGGGCTTTTCTCCCAGGAGCTATGGATATCCCTTCACGGAACAAGCCTTGTACCTACATGTAGCACTTAAGGTTATCAGAGGTGTCTACAGGTCCTCACACCAGTTCACCAGGAAGAGGAGGGTGTCCTACCAGGCCAGGCATGTTGTTTTCTGTTCAAATGTTTAGGCTGCTTAGAAATATTTTCAGAACTGAATAAAAATCACAGCAACTGGTACCAATATGGCCTAGTTGCAAGAGGAGCCAGATGAGTTACAGAGCTGGGCTGGATTTTTAAGGAGCTAAGGTGCATTCTTTGGCTTGTGGCAGCGTAACTTCTCGGCGCCTGCCCACCTGTCTTCACATGGCCACCTTCTCTGTACCCTCTCCCTCTTCTCCAAAGATCCCAGCCATCAGATTCAGAGCCCAACTTACATCCGGTGTGATATCACCTCCTTCACAGTTAACTGAGATTCTTGATTACGTCTGCAAATACCCTCTTGTCAAACAAGTTCACATTCAGAGGTTCTGGGTGGATATGAATTTGGGGGGACACTATTCCACTTACTCTATACCATGAAAAGGGAAAGTTTGCAGGAAGGTACACATGCCAGGTGGCCGGGCCTCATAATAAGACACAAGGGGCTGAAAGAACAATGTCATTTCTCCTAGGTATTGCTCAAATCCTAATGCCCCTGGTCAGCCACGGTCATTGTCACCAGTTTGAGCCATGAGCAGCCTGAATTGTTTTTCCTGCATGACAGGGAACGTGGCAAACAGCAAAATTGTGAAACCGCCAGGTTACCAGATCGAGATGGGGGCACGTGGGGATTTTTTTCCAACTCTGATTCTTGCACTTGAGAAATTAAAGGGGGCGGTGCAACTCTGACATGATTTCTATGTCCATTCCATTAGGTGGCATAAGTGGGAATAAACTCAAGGTGCTGCTTCAAAAGCGGGAAGGTAAGGATACCCTGCATGGAGAAGGGCGGCATTCTTAATGGATCACAGGGAAAAGCGATGTTGAGTGTGCTCCCTGGGGTCTTGTGTTTGGAACATCGGAAGTGTTTACTCCTTGAAAGGTTGGCAGATCTGAAAGGCTTACTCTGTGGGTATGTGTGTGGTATTTTATTAGGTAAATATTATTGCCGGTAAATGTTTGAAGATTGTTTTTCTGAAAGCTCTCAGTGTGGACCCCAAAAATAAAAGAAACAGTGTTACTGTGTTAATTTAATGCTGTGTATTTTAGAACCATGATACTCTTTGGAGCACATATCTAAATTTAAAGCATACCCTTTAGAGTACATAAAATGTCTGTTAGGGAGGTAGACTCTGAAGAGTACTGTTGTGGTACGCTATATCCAGTTAGCCCTTGGGGGCAGGGTGGAACAGAAAAAACTGTTTTGTGACTAACACCTGTTGTGAGAAAATACTCCTATGATGAATGTGGTAGCCAGCAGCAAAATGTTATAGAAACACAACAAGCTGGGAGGCACACACGTCCTGGGCCCACCATAATCAGGTAGATCTGTTGGACCAATCATGTTGTCTTGTGAAGGCCATCTTCCCTTGGAACTGTCATCTTTGCCTGTAAGATGAAGAAGTTGTTTATCTCTTGGAAATGAGGAGTGTGGCCACATTTCTGATGTAGACCCTTGATCCCTTATTCTTCCCTCCCTGCCCCCCATCCAGTTGAAAGGGGATTCTGCCCATCTCAGTCTGCTCCCTGACCATGTGGAGCTCCCTAGTGCTATTCACATGCTTCCCAGTCAGCCCTCCAGAGACCCCAGATGCTGGGCACTTGGGGCCCCTTGCAGGGGCAGGGGGCACCTGAGGGAGCTCCCAGCATCTTTCTCAGCATCTCCAGCCACTCACCAGGCCCTGGCCAATCCCCGATCTCTGTGCCAGGCAGCCTGTTCCTCCAGGACACCCGGAGTGATGGAAGTTCTCAAAGGGACAGCCTGTCAGAGGTGGAAGAGAGCAACCACCAAGATAATCACGAGTCCTGGTGTACATTCTCAGCTTTTATTCAAGTCAAGCCAAGATACACATATTGAGCACCTACTATGTACAAAAGAGTAGTAACAGGCCCTGAGAGAGACACAGATGAACAGGAAGTGAGGAAACACACCCATGGCTATTTATCCATGTGACCCAAGGAACACACTGAGCACTTCACTCCCATCATCCTTTGCAGCCTTCATAACAAGGGACTGCCAGTCCAGTTTTATAGATGAGGGGGCCGAGAGCAGGGGCAGATGCAGGGACACAGCTGCTTCCCCTGAGCACAGCCCGCAGAAGTGGTGGCTTTTAAACAGTTGAGACCACAATGGGAAGACGTTGTTAAAGAAGCCAAGTGTTAAAGCAAGGGCCAGTACCTGTCAAGACTCGGTTGAATCGTCGATGACGTGTGAGGCCTGCAGAGGGTGGCCCAAGGTGGCCCGGTCTGCTTCGGCACTCCAGGGTGAGAGCTTGCTATACTGCTGAGCTGGGCCTGGGCTCATTGTTCCAGCACTTTTTTCCTCGTGGTCTCCTAAGCAAGCACAGCACTCTCTGACTTGCACATGCAAGGAACATACACTTGTGTGGCCTTAGACATCCAGTTGCTTCCTAAATGCTTAAGGGGTATGCCACCAGCCCCTGCCTGAGGCCTGGGGTCTAGGCCTGGTGAGTCGCTGCTGAGGATGGGCTACATTTTGTTTCTCCCCTGTGCCCTAGAAGTTGGGGGCTAGCCTGCACCCCTTGATATGGCTGCACCCAAATGGACAGCTTACTATCAAGGGACATGGAGACTGATGACAGGCGGCTGTATTTTATCACATGTGATGTAAGAGTGAAAATCAAAGCCATCTTAGGCAGGGTGAGCTTGGGGTGCGGGATATATACTAGTGATTTGCCCCGAGAAGAAAAGAACTCATGCTTTGTGCTTTGGGGGTTGGGGAATCGATCCTTTTAGCACCTGCTCCGGCTAAGACTAAAGTAGCAGTGGACGAGAGCAAGGCCAAAGAATTCTTGAACAGCCTGAGGCGCCAGAAACGGCAGTTGTGGGACCGGACTCGGCCCGAGGTCCAGCAGTGGTACCAGCAGTTCCTCTACATGGGTTTCGACGAAGCGGTGGGTAGTTCCTCCCGCCGGACACCTGGCTCCCCCCACAGTGGTGTGGTGGGGGCAGAGGCTTGGCTCAGGGAAAATTAGCCTTCGGAATTCACTCCAAAAAGGATGAGCCCCCATGATAGGCCAAGTGCTACCCAGGCGTTGGATAACATTTCCATCGGGATACAGGGACATCAGCTGGAATTTTACATCAGACCACATGCAAATGGGAATCTCTCCCAACATGACTGGGAAGTGGGATCCCAGAGAAAATGACCGGGGCTTAAATTCATCCCAGAATCCCATGTAACTTATCTGCACAGTTTTGCCTGGGTGTCTTTAAAATAACTCACAACCGGGGCACCTGTGTGGCTCAGTCAGTTAAGTGTCTGCCTTCAGCTTAGGTCATGATCCCAGGGTCCTGGTATCGAGCCCCACGTCGGGGTCCCTGCTCAGCAGGGAACCTGCTTCTCCCTCTCCCTCTGCCTGCTGCTCTGCCTACTTATTCTCTCTCTCTCTCAAATAAATAAAGTCTTTAAAGAAAAATAACTCACAACCTGTCCAAAACACATTTGTGGCTTTACCTCCCCAAAATGTCAGAAACAACAAGATCAAAGCAAAGACCCGTGAGGATAATGGGAAGAGACGAAAAGTGACTTTCTAAAGAGAGATGGGCTTTTGCAGATGTTTTCAGGAAAATCTGGCAATGCATTTTCAGGAAAAGATGGTTCCATTCCATTCATGTGTCCAGGCAGGGAGGTGAGTGGATGTATTCACTAAGTAAAGCAAAAAGAATGGTTACAATCACAGACTGTAGCTGGGGGCAGAGTTAAGGTCTCAGATTCCCGTGCATAGACACAAGTGTACAGAGTGACCAGCAGGGCGGCGCTAGCAGGAGTGCTGTATTGGAGGCTTGGCACCGCCTGGACAACGCTCAGCCTGCCACCCCAGCCAGAAGGGGGACGGGGACAGATGAAGGGCAGTATCTCCAAGCGGGCACAGCTGGAGAAGTACTTCTCCAAATGGCCCAAGATTTATACTGTGTGTAGAGGATGTATAAGACATTGCAATAGATGAAAAACAAAATTAAACTCTTTAGAAGCCTCATTTTTAATGGCTGCATAAAATGCAGTCCTGTGGTTGGATTATAATTTCCTTCCCATTCCCAACCATTGGCTATATTGGTTATTCTCTAATTATCTTTTTGCTACTCAAGTAAAATTTTTTTTTCCTGTGCAAAAAGCTAATCACATATATCCAGACTCCGCCAGGTAGGATTCTAAGCACTTGTGTGAATTAACTTACTTACAGTTGCAACAACCCAAACGACAGGTACTGTGATTCTCATCTTTGTGTGTAGTTTGTTCCGTACTTGGTATTGCATTCTTCCCAGGGGAGTGGTGGAGGCAAAAGGTAGAATCACTTGCGGGTCTTTGGGCAGTGTCAGATTGCACAATCCCAGAAGTCCCGTGGGAGAGCACCAGTTTTCTGGCATCTTCAGCATCACCTTGAATTCTCACTGAAAATTAAAAAAAAAAAAAAGTACTTGCTTGAACATGAAAATGGCATGTCCTTGTAGTAATTTGCATTTCTTTGATGCAGTCCATGAAAATGGGTATTAAGAGTCTAATGTGGAGAAATGGCTAAAATAATGACTGGTGACAAAACCAGAATAAAGGTGAGGATCCGTAAGATTATAACTAAATATTCACAGAAAAGAGACGCCTGGGTGGCTCAGTCAGTTAAGGGTCTGCCTTCGGCTCAGGTCATGATCCCAGGGTCCTGGGATCGAGCCCTGCATTGGGCTCCCTGCTCAGTGAGGAGCCTGCTTCTCCCTCTCCCACTGCCCCTGCTTGTGCTCTGTCAAATAAATAAATTAAAAAAAAATAAATATTCACAGAAGAGACTAGAAGGAAATACATCAAAATGGCAGTTGTGGTTGTCTTTGGCAGTGGAGTTATGATCCCCCTTTTTCTCTGTCCCACTCCCACGTATGGATTTGTAAAGTATGAATCTGTGTTATTTCTGTACTCACAAAACATTTTTTTAATTTCTTGAAAACCTTGATGTTTCAAGGTCTGAGGTTTGCCAAAACTTCAAACACGATTATAAAATGCAAAAAACCAAGGAGAAAGATGATTTCACGATGGGAAAAGCTGCGGTGTTGTGGGGAAAGCAAACATTCTCGCTTTCATGGCAGAGGCAGAGGGTGGGCTGAGCAGATGCCAGAGCCCCTGGGGCTCCGCAAACAGAGGAGGGGCAGAGTGGTGCTCACCAGCGTGGTACAGGCTGACCCACTGCTCACCCGAAGTGGGTGGCCACAGAGAACACCATCATGGGCGAGGCTGGACCTTCCAGCCTCAGGGAGTGCTCAAATACCCATGTTCACTGGCAGTCTTATTAAATAGATTCCTGCGACCCAACCACCGGAAAATTCCATCCAGGCAGCGTGGAGGGGTGCCTGCGAACTTGCACTTTTAGCATCCTTAGAGATTTGGATGCGGGGGTGCACTGGCCACACTTTGAGAAAAATTGGACCCAAACTTTTAGATACCCTGCAACCCCCCTAGGTCATCCCTCTCTTGTCCCCACCTCTTTGGCCTCACACCAAACCTCTCCCCAAGTTGTCAGCATCGACACGTGTGAGCGCCCATCTACATTCATCTTGCACTTTCACTACCGACAAAGAAGTAGTCTTTCCTTTAAGAGACGCATCGAGAGCAAAGGCCAGTTACCCCAGCTGTAAGCTTGAAAGTCCTTCTGTTCTCACTCCTTCAGTTCTTCCCCTCCCTTTTATTCCTGCTAACTGCAGCTGTCTCTTTTCATGTGCCTCTCAGCAACTGTAGGCTTTGTGAAGGCAGGGAATCTGTCCGACTTGCCTGGGGTGGCCCTTCAGTGCCCAGCGCAGGGCTGACAGGCTGGGCCCATGGAATCAGCGTTTGTGGAATGAGCAAGTGCAGCCATGCAAGTTCTAGCCAACACCACGGGTATAAAAGGGTCACCACTGCGAGTACGTGTGGCTCTGCCATGCCAGGGTGGTGGTTGATTTCATTTGTCAAGCATCTACTCTGTGCACTAGCGCCAGGCACAGGACAGGACAAGGAGAGAAGGCAATGTCTGTAAGATGTGTGCAGTGCCTGGGGGTCAGGCCAAGCTATCGCTATCTTTGGGAGATGCCCATTTTATTTTCCAAAAAAGAGAAAAATATTTGAGTGTCGGGTATATTGAGAACTCATAGGGCAGAAGTTTTCAAGGGCCTGGATGTGTACTCCTTTGGGGACAATGGCTTTTATCAGTACTCTTTAGCTGGCTGTGTTGACTTCTGAGCACAGAATACCATCATGACGGGCGATTCTTGGGAAGAGTTGTTAGTCACTGAAGAAAAGCCATCACAGAGAAAAGCCAGGGATAAGATGTGGTCGAGGGGGAGTGTGTGTCCTTAAATCTGTTCCCTATTTTTCTCCAGAAATTTGAGGATGACATCACTTATTGGCTAAACCGAGGTCGGAATGGGCACGACTACTATGATTACTACCAGCGTCACTATGACGAGGATGCAGCGGTTGGTCCCCAGAGTCCCCACAGCTTCAGGCACGGAGCCAGCGTCAACTACGATGACTACTGACCATCGCTCTGTGCTCCGTGCACCAGCCCCGGAAGTGACCCCTTCCCTGCCTCGCACCATGTGGCTTCTGCTGGGCTTGACTTCAGCAGATCTTTTCTACCCCCTTTCTGCGACCAGGAAGGAAGAGTTAAAGCAAATATCAATGCCTTTTGATATTTCATGCAAGAATCTAACAGTGCCTTCCATTAAAAAATAGAAATAAAAGCATTTTGTTAAAAACAAAAGTCTCAAGATTTCATTTGGATGGAAAGTAAGCTGGCCACGGTTTTCATTCCCTGGGTTTTCTCAAAGTTGAAGCCTCCTCTGAGAGGCGGCTCTCTGTCACTGGTACCCTGCCGGGAATCCTAGCTGCCCCCCGGGGCAGACCATGGGACTGAGCAGGGGTCTGCGCTTTGTTAAAATTCTGCCCACTCGAAATGCAAGAGAGGAAACCAGCAAGAGAATCTGGTCAAAAATTATTTAAGGTTACAGACACGGTTTGGAGTATTCTAATCACTGCACAGGTGTTTGAGACCTTCTGGGCCCCAGGCCCTGAGCGAGAACTGGGCCAGTTTAATATGATCATGCAGGGAATGAAGGGTAATAGGAAAAGAGCTAAAGTTTGTGTGAATTCAAGGCCTCACTTCTCTTAAAAAAAGTAAATCTTCGCCAATGAATTCAAGAAATATTTAAGAATATACTTACGGGGGCGCCTGGGTGGCTCAGTTGTTAAGTGTCTGCCTTTGGCTCAGGTCATGATCCCAGGGTCCAGGGATTGAGCCCCGCATCGGGCTTCCTGCTCCGCGGGAAGCCTGCTTCTCCCTCTCCCACTGCCCCTGCTTGTGTTCCCTCTCTCGCTGTCTCTCTGTCAAATAAATAAAATATTAAAAAAAAATATATATATATATATACTTCACATAGTATTTAAACAACCTGAGGGGATGAAAGAGAAAAGTGGTGTGGGGGTGGGGAGAGGGAGGGAGCGAAGGGTGGGGGGGAGGGGAGGGGAGGTGGGCTCCTGAGGCATTACTGCTGGAGGGAGTCTGGTCACAGCCTGTGTGATGCCCACAGAGCTGAGGGGGTGGGCGGGGAGCACTCAAAATGGCTCTTACACTTTTGTGGATCACAGACCCCTGTGACAGTCTAATGGAAGCTTTTTGTTCTTTCTCCAAAAAAATGATAATTTTGTATATAGTCCCTGAAACACATCTCCATTCACAAATCATGAGTAATTAAAAAAAAAAGAAAGCCGGCTTAGTTGCAAGTACTGACTCTGGGAGACTGGGGTTTATGGACACTCATCACATCTGCATAGGAAGGTAATTTTGTTTCTTCCTTTGACATCCTTACGATTTTTAAAATTTTTAGTAAAATATTCATAGCATAAAATTTACCGTTTTTAGGTGTATATTTCAGTGGCATTGAATACTTTCACATTATTGTGCAACCATCACCACCACCCATCTCCAGAACTTTGTCATCTTCCCTAACTGAAACTCTGTCCCCATGAAACATGACCCCCCTCCCCCAGCTCCTGGTAGCCCCCCTTCTCCTTTCAGTCTCTATGAATAGGACTATTCCCCAGTACCTCATTTAAGTGAAATAATACAGTGTTTTTCTATGTCTGGCTTGTTCCACTTAGCATAATGTCCTCAAGATTCATCCATGTTGTAGCCTGTGTCGGAATCTCTCTCCTGTTTAAGGATGAATAATATTCCAGTGTACGTTTATACCCCATTTTATTTATCCATTCATCTGTCAATGGACACTTGGGTCGCTCCCCGCTTTGGTCTGTTGTGCATAATGCTATGGACATGGCTGTGCACATAGCTCTTCATGCCCCGGCTTCCAATTCTTTTGGGTATATGCCCAGAAGTGGAATTATTGGATCATATGGTAATTGTTTAATTTTTTGATGAACTGCCATACATGTTTTTCACAGTGGCTGTCCAATTTTACATTCTCACCCTTTAAATGTGTTTCTTTTTCTTGTCTACTATGAGGCTGGCTCAAACCCCAACACAATTAAAAAGGAGGGAGGGAGGGGTGACAGAGAGGACATCATAGCTTCATTCCCAATCTTGCCATGTTTCTCCATGTTTGCTGGATGATTTTTGTAGATGTCTTTTTTTTTTTTTTTTGTAGATGTCTTTTATCAAATTGAGGAAATTTATCAAATTAAGGAAATGGATTTTTCTATTCATCGTGCTGGCTTAAGAAATATGCTAAGATAATTTTTAAATGTCATGTCTGGATGTCAAATTCTATTTTCCTAATCTGTTGAGATGATACAATTTTTCCTTGTTAATCTGTTAATTAATGTGAGTTCTGTTAATAAAATTCTAATATTAATGAATTGAATCCCTGGAGTGAAACCTATCTTGATCGTGATTTCTTTTTATTTATTGTTGGATCTGGTTGGATGTGTGTTCTCAATTCTCATATACATGTTCATGAGAAGGTTGGCTTTAGTGTTTTTTCTGATTGTTTTTGTCGGTTTAGATATCAAAGTTATTCTGGCCTCTTAAAATGAGCTGTTTTCTTTTCTATTCTGTGTAGGAATGGAAGGATCTGTTTCCTGAATGTTTGGTAGCAGTCAGATAATGCCATCTGAATGCGGTGTTTTCTTTGTGGTAAAATTGTTTCCTATTGATTGCATTTCTTTTACGGGTACAGGATTATTTTGACTTTGTGTTTCTCCTTGGATCTTTCTAGGTAGTCATCCATTATATCAAAGTTTTAAAGTATTGAGAATTGTTCTTAATATCCTCTTACTGCTTTTCTCTGTAACATCTGTGGTTTTATTTTCTCATTCCATTCCACTTGTGCCTCTTTTAAAAAAAATGAATCATCTTTTCAAACATGAAAATTTTGCTTTGTTGATCTGTTCTTTTGTATGTTTTTCTATTTCATGAATTTCTTTTCTCTTAATTTCCTTCCTTCTACATCTGTGGATCTTTGATGTATATTAGATCTTAGCTCTATTTTGAGACTTAATTTTTTTTGAAGGCATTTAATATTGTTTCCTTCCAAGAACTGTATCCCATGAGTTTGATGTGAAAAGTTAAGATGATGAAATCATCTAATTTCAATTATATTTTCTCCTCTGACCCTTAAGTTGATTACAAGTGTTATTAAGTTTCCAAGTGAATGGATTTTTCTAATTATTGCATTGGCTTTGTTTTATTACACTGTGGTAAAAAAAACATTCTTTTAAATAAATAATTTTAAAAAAAACAACTATAGTCAGACCCTGGTCCTCTGAACTATACTGAGGTCAGTTCTATGTGCCAGTGTGTCAGGCCCAGCAAATGTTCCATGTGTGCTTGAAAGGACTTTGTCTTTTCCAGACATCGGATGCAGTCAAGTCCATTAGTTAGTTTAATCTTGATTTTTCTATTTTCTTACTGGGTTTTTTTTTGTCTGTTTGATTTACTAATTTGCTAATTACTGCCAAATGTATTAAAATCTATGATGATGATGGATTTGACAAGCTTTTCCTTTAATTCTGTCAGTCTGGCTTCATATGAGGCTATACACAAATTTACAAGGTATACACAAATTTAGAATCAATGCATCTTCCTGGTGAAGGGAATCATTGATCATTGTGCAGCAAATTTCTTATTTCTAATAATATGTTTTGCCTGAATTCTCCTTTGATATTAATAGAACTATATTTGCCCCCCTTTGGCTACTAACTGCCTGGTATATATTTTCCATAGTTTGGCCTTTGTTCTGTGTGCTTTATATGTGTCTTTTGTAAAGAGGACACAGCTGAAATTTGTTTTTAAAACATGGTGTAACTACTAAGGACTTTATGGGAGAATTTCGTCCACTTACACTTATTGTGATTAGCCATTTCATTTTATTTCTAACATCACATTTGGAACGTTTTAAAAAAGATTTTATTTATTTATTTATTTATTTATTTATTTATTTATTTACACAAGCGGGGGGAGAGGCAGAGAGAGAAGGAGAGAGAGAATCTCAAGCAGACTCCATGCTGAGGTCAGAGCCTGACTCAGGGCTCCATCTCATGACCCTGAGATCCTGACCCAAGCCAAAATCAAGAGACAAAGGTTTAACTGACTGAGCCACCCAGGTGTCCCGTATTTTGAACTTTTGACTCATTCCATTTCACCTGTTCCTGTCCTCCTCTTTTCTTGCCTTACTTTGGACTGCTTTGTTTTCCTTGGTTTATTCTTTTCCCTTTACTTCTTTTGAAGGTATACATTGGGTCTATTCTATTAGTGTTTGCTCTTTTGAATGCCTATTTGACGACATGACAGGCGCTCAATAGCCATGGTCTTCTGGACAATACAAGGACCTTGCAAAACTTATTCTCTAGTCTCCTCTCCCAACTTCTAAGCGGTTGTAACTTGGCATTTTAAATCTAGCCTGCTTTATTTTCCCCACAGATTATCTTTCATATATAGTCATTAGATTGTTTAGATTGTCACGTAGTTATCTTGGTTCACTATTTCTCTTTGCAGCTCAGACCACACACCTGCAGTCATTTTCCTTCAATTGGAATTACATCCTTCAGAATCCATTTATTTTTTTTTTAAGATTTTATTTATTTATTTGACAGAGAGTGAGAGAGCACAAGCAGGGGGAACAGTAGAGGGAGAGGGAGAAGCAGGCTCCCCACCAAGCAGGGAGCCCCAGGCGGGGGGTCAATCCCAGGGCCCTGGGATCATGACCTGAGCCGAAGGCAGATGCTTAACCATCTGAGCCACCCAGGTGCCCCCAGAATCCATTTAGTGAGGGTCATTTGGTGGTAAACTCTCAAGTTTGACACTTTGCATTGTTTCACTTGGTACAGAATTTTTGGTTATTTATTCAGCACTTTGAGGATATGATTCTGTCTTACGGTTTTCACTGTTGATGTTAAGAGTTTTGCTATTCATTTATCACTTCTCTGTGTATGACACTGTCCCTCCAACTGTCTTTTATAACCTACATATCTGCTATCTCCTACAGCTAGGTCTGTATGTATTTATATTGCTTGGGGTTTGTTGGGCTTCTTAATCTGAGGGTCAGTGTCTTTCAACAAATTTGGAAAATTTTCCCCATTACTTCTTTGAATGTTGCTTCCTCCTCATTCTATTAGCTCTTCCCAAAATGTTATTCAAGTATATAAACTTCAATTATATTTTCCCTTTTTCAAATATATGTTATGTCTCCTGTTATCTGCTCAGATTTTTAATTTTCTCTTTTATTTCTTTAAATGTA